CACGATGCGATTTGAATAATTATCAATCGACTCATTAAGTCTTCCCACTTCCTACCTATCAAAATAACGGACCCCTTGGACAAGTTAAATATGATTTATAATTGAGAGATAGTCAGGCTGCATAGAGTTCCAATGACTGTGGTATCAAACAAAGATCTCAGGTTTACCTTTAGGTTTTGGACTAGTTTTCAGTAAGCGATGGAGACGAAATTATCTTTTAATAAAATATTTCACCAGCAAATAGATGAGTAATCAGAACGAACTATCTGCACACTGGAAGATATGCTCGAAACTTATATTCTAGATTTTAGATGATACTAAGATGATCACTTACCCTTAGTGGAGTTCGCCTACAATAACAATTATCAAGCAAGTATTGGTATGATGACTCTGTATGAAGCATTATAGGTCGACCATGTAAGTCAGCAATCTGTTTGGAGGAAGTAGCTGACAGGAAATTGATTGGCCTAGACCTCGTAGATGAAACCATAGCAAAGATTATCAAAATCAGAAAAAAAAAATATTTGAACGGTCCTAAGTAGATAGAAGAGTTATACAGACACTCGAATAAGAGATTTAGAATTTGAGATGTGATCGAGTTTTCCTTGAAATACCTCTCTTAAGGGCATCACTAGGTTTGGAAAGACGAAAAAGTTGAATTCTTGGTTCATCAGATCATTTGAAATTTTGGACAGAATTGAAATATTTACTTATAAACTAGCACTATCTTTAGAACTATCCAGAGTCCATAACGTTTTTCATGTGTCAATGTTGCTCAAGTTTAACCCTGATCCTTCATATATTTTATCTTATAAGTCACTTCCACTTCAGGAGAATTTATCTTATGAGGAGGTACCTGTCAGTATTTTGGACCGAAATAATAAGGCGCTTCGCAACAGAGAAATTCTTTTTATCAAGATTCTATGGCAAAATCACTCACAAGATGAGACCACCTGAGAGTTGAAATCAGACTTTAGGGTTAAGTTTCCTCAATTGTTTGGCTAGGGAGGAACAATTTGAGGGACCAAATTTTTTTTAGAGTAGAAGAGTTGTAATATCCCGAGTCTAAAAATTAGTCTCTTAATAAAGGATTTTAATTTTTCTAAATAATAATAATGTATAAGTTTTTAATTTTTATTATTTCTTAGAATATATACATTTTGGGCCAAGTGGATACCCAAAATAAATTTTAGAACTAAGGCCAAACTGTAAATAAAGGAGGGCATGTTTGAAAAAGAAATATGAAAATAGGAGTCGAATCACAAAAAAAAAAGGGCCACGTGGATGCCCAGTCAGCAGTACAGTAAACCGATGCATGTCGCGTGGCAGCCACATCAAACACGGGCTCTATACAGGAAGACTACGCTGGCAATCCACGTGCTAGGAAGATCGGAAAGCTCATGTCCACTCCCGCACACACAAATGGCTCAAATCAATTCCCCGAATAAGTCCGATCGAATGACTCGTGTCACCCCACATGAACCCGAACGGATGATCCAGATCGATTCTTTGAATAAGGTCGATTGAATAGTCATCTTTGCTCCACGTCTACCCAAAGGAATGAGCAGGATTAGGGAAAAGAGATATTAAACCTCTCTTCAATTGCCCCAAAACCCTAGGTGACGTAGGGTCACAGGAGAAGAAAAAGAAGGACGGTCGGATGAGAGCTCAGCTACTGGAAAAACACTGACGCCATCGTGCTAGAACCCCAAAACACACTGGTAAGCCCAAATTTTCTTTCTGTTCTTCATGTTTCTCCGCCGTTAGCTGCTTAAAACATTTTCGATGCAGGGTGACCAAGAGAAGCTGCAAACTGTAAGGGAGGGATGATGGAGTTCGATTGACCTGCCGCACCAGAGAACTAAAACTGCCGATAAAACTGAATTTTTCCCCTACCTTCTCCGAATAACACCCCCTAACCATGATTTAAACAAATTTTCACCAGGAACCAATCAGAATCAGTTCGGTCGAGAGGGATAAGTGCTAGAGAAGGAGGACCGTGCTCCGCCGCCATACCGAAACCCTAACCCCACCCCAAATGAGATTTTTTTACCTTTTTTCGCCATTTCATGCTATTTTGATGTACATTTTTAAATTTGACCAGAAAAATCTAAGAAATCTAACAACCGGGAACTGTCGAGAACCGTAGTGAAAAAGACATCTTGGACACCGACCCAGTGTAAAAATCTCTCACCATTTTTTCCTGTTACGATTAAATTAAAGCTAAATTAATAATAAACGAAAAATTATAAATAGTTTGACGATTTCTTACTTAATTAAATACAAGTTGCCAATGGAGGCAGTAATCGATTTGTCCATGTTCGTCTCTAGTTTATTGTATTGCCTATATGTCATTTTTGCTTCTATTTTTATTTGATTTTAATTACTTATTTATATTTCATTTTAATTGGTTTTATTTACACTTCATTTTCACTTTCTACTTGTTAAAATCCCACCTTGAGTTATTGTTTTATTTTATTGTTCATGTTATTGCGATGTGTGGTTTTTTTATCCTATTATGACATTTTAATTCACTTTTATTTAAAGGTTTTATTCCTTAACAACTTCGAAGCATGAATTTTGCTTTTTTGTATTTTTGAAGTATGAGTATTGCATGTTATTGGGGGCTAGATAATAATAGAAAATATGCATGCGAAAACTAATGACGTTGAATAAGAGGGCTACCAGGTGTCATGAAAAATAGTGTACGAACTTGGTATATAGGGTGAACCCTACCGTGGACATTATCCTCGGCCATAAAGAGTTGAGAAGTCCAATACTGGATGGGGTAGGGAGGTTATAAATTTCGCTTATACCAAATGGGGTATTAAGATGATTTTTAATTGTGACGCTCATTACGGATGGGGTATGGACAACTGATTCAATTACAAAAAAAGTGTATGTATCCACGTGTAGCGGGGGTCCGTAACGATACCGATAAAGAAAAGTAAAATAATAGAGTAGCGATGGCCATGGTAAAGAATCTGATTTCGGGCAATAATTAAGAATCAAACGTTAGATACCTATTGAAATGTATATTATTTGTAATTAAATTGTTATTTTGATGTATGACGCTTGATAAGTTACAGGTTATAGGAGAAAATGCTAACATTTTTAGTTAAACGAGTAATAAATGCACTAGCATTCGGATTTTATTAAGAATATGTTCTATTTGTCGTTTTATATTTTCTACAATCATTTGATTTTCTATGTCAGTGGTAAAATGTTGATATTCTTACTGAGTTAGTGTAGCTCACTCATTTTCTTATTAACCATTTTAGATCAATACGATAAAGACCGGGATCTTGAATAGTAAGAGACCAGATAAGCACTTACCTCTTCCGCTTCGTGAGTTTCAAAAAGAGGTTAATAATATTTATTGTTAATATTTTTTTCGTTTCAAGTTCCAAAGCATTCATATATCTCCTATTTAGCCATCTTAAAAAAACGTGTAAGGAATGTAATATTCAAACAATTAATTCTTCTACTAAATAAAGAAATTCAGTATTATTATGATTATTATTACTACTATCATTATCATGATTGGGTCAAAACTCATGAAATCCCCGTTAGGAGTTTTGAGCGTTTTACATAGTATCTTCCAATATCTACAGTTTGCATAGAGTCACGAAATTCATGAACCCGCTATCAAAATCTAATTTTTCTATACGAAACAATTACTTCATTAATAAATAATTAAGGATCTAGAAATCAAACTTAATCAGATGCTTAGAATCACTTGAAAATTTTAGATATCACGCATTAATAAAAAGATAACATACCCATAATAATAATGTGGATTACACAATGTTAGCATTTGTAACTGCGGATATATTACTTCATTTGAATTAGTGTAATACTGTTAAAGGCAAAAAAAAAAAAAAAAAAAACTGTAGATGATGGGAGACAGTCATAAAATTTCAGTTATTGTTTGGGATAATTATTTTTTTGAAGTTGCTACATGCAATAATCACACTTTTTTTTTTATATATATAATTTTATTATTCTGCTACAAAACAAAATTCATGCAATAATTAACGTCTTTTTAGATAAGACTAAAAACGTATTAAACAAGGTGCAAATTCAAGATCAAGACACAAATTTATTTATTTAAATTTACAATTTGATATTTTTAATAAAGTTAAAATTCCAGAAGTGAATTATCTGTCAATTGTTATCTTAATAGTTAAATTATTATTTTACTATAAATTATTTGGATAAAATTTTTATTATTACTGTCTAATTTTAAGATTTATTGAATTATTATACTTTGTGTCAAAAAAAATTACAGTTTTTTTTTGTATTTGTTATTTTTAAATATTAACAAATATCTGCACAAAATAATTTTTATTATTTAAGAAGATATTTTAAATGATTCGATAAAAAAAAATTAAAGATAAATTACAATATAATTTATAATTTATATACTAACTTAATGAATCTTTAGTTGAGTAAACGTAAATACCGTACTTAACTACTCCAACAAACCACTGTGATACAAATATATATACCGAAAAATAATATATGACTTTTTATATTTTTAAAATAAAAGTATTAAATATAATTATATAAAAATAAAACTTTAAATAATTTCATACATTATATAGATATAAAATTTTAAATATTATACATTTATTTAAAAATTTTAACTAATTTTTATAATTATAATTCATATATGACAGAAGATAGAGATCAATTAAATAAATATTAAAACACGACTTATTGACATACCAATAATTATTACTTTTAAATTTAAAATTCATATATATATATATATATTTTTTAATTTTTTAAAAAATTGCTTACCGCTTCAAATATACATCAATTCTTAGACAATGATGATTCAAAGTTGAATTTATGATATGAAACACCAACCACTTTTCAATTATTTATTTACACAGACGTGGAAATTCTCAATTTTAAATAAGTAAAAAATAATAATAATTTAAAAAAGAAACCAACACTCAACGGACGAGGATTTCTCCATCTGTCTTCTTCTCCGATTTCTGCAATTTCCGATGCGATCACAATCCAAACATGCCGCCGCTTCTCTTCGACACTGCGTAGCTTCTACTCCGCGGATAAACCGGCTCCTTTCCATCCACAACAAGTTTATCATCATCTCCAAATTCACAAGCCTTATCCTCATCAATCCTCCCCATCCCTACGCTACAACTCTTCGGCAACCTCCCATTAGATCCGGCCGCCGCAATCAACGCCGCCTCCTGTCTTAACTGTTGCTCTAAAACCATCTTCATCTCATTCTCGTGACCTAGACCCCTCACCGACGCTGCTCTCACAAGCTCCCTGTAATCCTCATCGTCGTTAGCACTCACCGAACTCACCACGCTGGTGCTAAAACTCCTTGGCAATTCCGCGCCGTAATTAGCGCCATAGTTTGATCTCGTCGCACACCCCGTCAAACTCCGAACGTAGAGATCCCTCGCCTTGCCGAGCGCTCTTATCGGTGTTTTAATGATCTTCATGAACTTGCTCTGGCTCTGCGTTTTGGCCCTCATCGTCTTCAACACTGGATTTTGTATTTTAAAAAATCAAAAGTAAACTCACAGATCTGGATAAAGATCGGGAACGTACTAATGGCTTTGCGTTAAGGGATTTAGCAGGCTTGTTTTCAGAGATGATCAGACGAGATTTGAAAGGGATTTAGACTCCTTGAAAGCACACCGTTTTGGAAAAACCAATACCGAGTAGA